TCACGTCACGTCACGTCACGTCACGTCGGGACTGTGGGTTGGTTAGCTTGAGGTATTTCTTGACCTCAACAATGAGCCTCACCTCATCTTTTCTTTGACACACATGAGACTCAGCAACAGAGTTGTCTTTGCATCCACAGTAAGGAGAGGAGTCTAGCTGCCATAGGAGCAGAGAAAAAGAGCTGCTACGGGAGGCTGGCATGTACAAGCAGAGAGCGAGTGGGGGAAAAATGCATTTCATTTTGGGGGTGGTGGTGCTGGAAATAGGACAGTGGCGTGCAGGAGTGGCGACACGTGTGTAGCCGCCGTCAGTATGGGGTTGTACATTGAAGATAATGGGGGATTATTTTTTGACATGTGCCGTTCACTGCTGCTGTGTTTTGACCTTTAGAATTTATGTCTATACAGGGAGCGGTTCCTCATCCACTCCACAATGTTGCACTGCCATGTTTCTACAGCAGCCCCAAACAGACAAACCAAACACTGCCTCTAGATAGGGCCATTTGTGTTTTCACATCTTGTTTCGGCCACCGTAGCCCCACACTTATTTTTGAACATGAAATTACTTTATTCATTGTTTTTACTTGTTTAAGTCACTAGGTCTGGTTGGTTTGAGAGGAAGAAGGTAAAAACCTCTTGATTAATGAAGTTTCAGCTGGTTGTAGACTGCAATCTACACCGCTAGATGACTCCTAAACCTTACACACTGTTAATTTAAAATACATGGTTTTGGTGCCACAATTGCTGCTGAAAACACAGGGATGTCTTGTTAAAACAACAGGTGTTGTTGTTTGATATAACATATCAATAACATTTGATATATACACTGATATAATAGGTATTCGAAGTACAAGTTTAATGTATTCACAGTTTGTGGAAATGTACAATGCCAGCATTTTCCTCTGATGACTGGGCTGAGGATAGATACTTAGATTATTGATGGTAGTCAGACATTTCTTAAGAGCCCCTTAAACTCTCCCAGTGTAGCTTAAGTTTGACAGAACTGGAAGGAGAAAAGATACACAGACCTCAATCTGACTTAAATGTGACGCTGAGGATATTTTAGCTAAGCCCAAAGAAAGAGCTGTTTCCATATTAATAATGTGTTTTATTACTGATTGGACTGGATCAGCATGTTTGTTTGGACGGTTCAAAGCTGCCAACTGCAGTCTAATAGCCTCCTCTTTTCAGATGACTGGATTTGGACACAATCTCCCAAAACTTGGCCAGTATGTCTTACTCATAATTAAGGCTGAAGTGGCAATGCCAGGAATGTTTGCCATTTCTCCTCTTTTATTTCCGATGAATTCCCATTTTATTATTACGCTCGCAAAGTAATAATTGCTGCACATATTTCTGAAATGGATGGAATGTGAGGCAATTAGTTTTAATGATGTGCAAGACAAATCTGCATGACAGCAATTACTGCGACAATGTGTTTAACAGCCCAGAGGCAGGGCCCAGGGACAACACAGACAGGCAGTGGCAGGGTATGCCCCGGCCACGCAACAGGCTTCATGTGGGGCACATGTCAGGCCCAGTGTCACTGACCTGTCCACTTCATCGTGAGCACGGGGCGACATGTTTGTCTGGTGTCAGTACTGTGCCTCACAGCTGAAAACGGGTCACACGCCACGCAATTGAACACATATGCCATCGTAAGCCAGCCGTGAACCTCCATTTATTGGGTTATTTTTCTACCCCGCACTGTTTCTCGTTTCAATTCAGATGGTTTATTTGAAGAATGCAGTTTCACACATTACCAAGCTCCCCCCTCTGCAGCATAATGTCACTGGAATCTGTGGCCTTTTTGATCCGCCGCTTCATCCCCAAACTTGAGGTTAAACAGACTCCGGACAAGGAGGTGGCACCCAGCCAGCCTGTACTTTAGTTAGATGATGGATTTAACTCCTTGCCAAACAGAGCTCAGGCGATTCCTGTTTTATCCCATGATGGAAAATTCAGATCACATACCAAGTTATACAAATCCACAACCACATCTCTCTAAATGTGTATGCTTCATCAAAAAAATGGGTTACGTTTTCTTCAGAGTAGTTAAAACGAAACGCTTGAGTGAATAGTTGGTCTAAATAAAATTTGCTTCACCATAAAGCAGAAGAGAGTGGTGATTGTCTATTATTCAATCCTCAATTTGTTAGTCTTTCTCACTGTACCACAGGCTGGACGATGCGTAATGCAGTGGTCTTGTAATTAGCATGCATCATGATCCGAGAAAACTTAAATACAGAGCATGATTTGGCTTATTATGTTGGAATGTGTCTATGGAAATGGAAGTCTGACGCTACAGTTGTTACACACCGCTGTCATGTTTCCTTCTATTACTTCAGTTTTGAGCTCATGTCATCAGGAACAGCGATTTCAGGGTCCAGTGTGCTTTCACTCAAAGGAAAGTGGCCCCAGAGTCTGAGCAGCAAGGCAATAACAGGAAGCGTGCAGCAGGTAGAGCGCTGTTCGCACCCAGTGGGGCCCTTCTCGACTGCCAGCACTCCTCGCTGCCAAGAGCTGTGGCAGCGTTCCTGCCTGCGATCTGTCAGTGTCCACAGCATCTGTGTCAATAGCATTCCACAGCCCTGTTGACAGAGCGCCGCTGTTTGCTTTAGCCACCACAGACCGGTGGCCTGATTTACTGTTTGAGGACAATGTCATAAATCCTCAAGTGCCGTCTACGACATACATTTGTGTCACAAGATCGAGAGCTTGTTTACTTTGAATTGCGTGCCGCGGGTCTTTCAGTATCTGGAGTGGGATGCGAGGATGTGGGGGTGGGCTGGGAGAGTGACACAGATTATTTTTCCATGACCATGAAATGATCTCGGCACTGTGTATCTGCAGACTATTGATAAATATTATGCACACATTCATCTTTCTAGTACAGTAAGCCCCTTTAGATTTAGTTTGTTTTTCAAATAAAAGACACAGGCCATTTCTTTGATGAAGTGTTAGCTATTTACGGTTGGCCTTTGGTAACCAGTTTTTCCCATTTTTTTATGACCTCTTACTTTTATTACCTTTTTAAGCTTCCTGTGTTACAGTGAAAGCAAAAGCCAGATTGTAGATCAGTGACGAAAGGTATTTTTGGGAAATCACTTTGTATAGAAACGCTGGGGGCCACGGAACTGAGCCCTGAACCTGGAGTATAGGCTTTACCTCAACAAGAAATTGGATAAGGATTTAATGTAAGTGATCATATACATTTAGACTAAACAGAGCAGTTAAAGACTCAAGAGAAATTGAACATGACAGCCCCTCCAGGCTCTCTGCTGAATGAGAAGGACAGAGAGGGCTGAGAAGTGAAACTAATGGCCCCTTGATTGAATCAATTTAAAGTGAGCCCCGGTGTTGAGATCAGGGAAAGCCATTTCTGCTACTGCTCCCTCGTACAAGGAGGGGCACATGCTCTAACATGACCTGCGGAGAACTTGATCTCCATCTGTGCTCTCTCTTCAGCTGACTGCCAGCCCCCCTGCCAGAACCGTGGCTCCTGCAGCCGGCCACAGACCTGCGTGTGTCGCTCAGGCTTCCAGGGGCCCCGCTGTGAGGAGGTGGCTCCAGAGCAGGTGTACATCCGAGATGGAGGTGCCCTGAGGCGCGTTCAACCCGGGACCAACCCTTTCCAGAGAGACCAACCGCGGAGAAGGCCATCAGAGAGGCAGGCCATTGACACCGCCAAGGTCCAGACCCCACGACCTGCGACCACAAGACAGCCTGTGTAAGTGATGCAGCTGTGCTTTCTTACCTCTTCTTCTTATTATAGCCAGGATGAGCCTCAGAGCTTTGCCAAATAGGGATAGGTCGAAAAATAAACATTTTACATACATTTTACGAGAAGTCTTCCAACTATGGCCCAGTCACACCAATGGTGATGACATACTAGGTAACACTTGTAGGGCTAGTTGGTGAACAACTGTAGCTGACAAGCTGACAGCAATCACATCAACAAGCCAAGAACATACCAGTGGTGGTCAGACACAACTGCCATTATATTCACTGTGGCATTTTTTCCTCATGATTGTACATTTTCTCATTTAATAAATCCATATTAACTTCAGCCTAGTCTACACCCACATATGTATTTTTGAAAACAGGGTTTTTCCTCTGTATTAAAAAAAAATCCCTTCCACAGAAACACTTTTTAATTTTCTCTGTCAAAATGAAACTGCAAAAACAAAATTATAGACACATGTACGCAGTTAGTCAGCTTTTACTCACGGAGCACTTGTCTGCCGGTCTTTTCTCACAAGGCTGCTTAGTTAGACCCCACGAAGCCAAGCAGGTATGCAGGGGGGGATGTTACTTACCTTCTGAAAAAACCTTAACTGTACATTTATGTGTGAGCATATAAGCTGTTAACAATGTCAGAACCAGCATTATTTCGGCCACATCCACCTCTGCATGAAATGTTATTTGTGACACTTCACAAAGGAGACGTCACAAGCCAAAAAAACTTTTCCCTGTCTATATCTCAACACTGAAAAATGAGTTTCTGAAAATCTTCACCCTGAAAGGAGTTTGACAAAAGGTTTGTTTTCAGTGACCGAAAAAAATACCTGAAAAATTACCCATGTACCTCTGGACCAGGCCCTAGCTTGTTACGCTAGTCAGTAAGCACAGTTGTTAGCTTGGCAACTGACTGGACAAAATGTTCACACAGTTTATTCAAAAGATGTATTTGTACCATCAGCTCCTGTTTCATCTGGCTACAAGACGTATTTTAATGCAAGATGAAGAGGGGGTTTATGACTCTCCATTCCACTGGGTCTTTTCTCAAATGTCAGTACTATCAAGATGGTTTGCTATTAGTCGAGAACACAAACTGTCAAAGTTACAAACACTGGAGTTTCTAACATGAGCAGAGTTTATAGCTCCTGATCTACTGTCACTCCCGCTGACAGAGCAACCAGAGATTTTGGTCTGCTGCCACAGCACAGTGATCTACTGCTGCACCTTCATTTCAGCATATATAATAAAACCTGTCTTTTTTTTAATGTAGTGAATGTAGTATTCTGTGGCCTTTCACTGAGAGATATTTGTTTTAACTGCTATTACTGTCACACAGGAAAGCTCACAGAAAACAAATGGATACACAGCGCTATTAGAAATTATTTAAACGCTCTTGAACAAACAGTAGTTCATTTCGCTCCCGTTAGACGCTGGTTGTGTTTATCGTTGCAATAAATCAAACCAGATGAACGGGTTCATATGTTAAATCTTTAATACACTCTAAGTTAAACAAATACTAACGCAAGTAAGCATTTGCTGCCATTTGCTGCCATGCTTGAAAAGGTATTAAGGTAAATCTGTGAAATGTAGGAAAATATAACATGATTTACCAGACAGGAGTATTAACCCATGCTATTTGCTATGAAAATAGAGCTGGGAGATTATATTTTCTTTAGGCTCTCACTTTGTTCTTTGATTTATTGGAATAACTGTGACTATAATGTATCCAACTAATAATTGCTCAGACGAAGGCCTCTTTAAGTGCATTCAGCAAACTCTCCAAAGACTGCTAATCAGACAGGCCTAATAGTTTCTTGGCTTGAACCTCTGACTGTTTAAATTCCAATCTTGTTGGAAGTAACTTTTTGGTTTGATTAATTGCTTTACCATGGCTACAACCATATTTTTGATCAAGGACATTGAAAGGGAGTAATTGTTTCCGGGAAGAATTTTGACGGATCATTATTGCTTACAGGTTCAGACTTATCTTGTCAAATTATAGTCCATTTTGGATTTAGGCCCAGTGCTTTCCTAATCCCAACACAGCCATAATTTGTTTGGGCACTGAGGTCATCATTCACTTGTTAGCCAGTTTGTCATCTGGGTAATTTCTCTCCACCAAACCACTTAAAAATACTCAATTACATGTGACATTTATGGTGCTCCTCGTGATAATTGTGAGGGTCTTGTGCCATTTTGTGCATTTTCTGGTGTTATGGAATTATGCTGGCTGAGTCATCCACGTGTTTGTGGTAGCTCAGTGAAACTCTACTAAATGTTTTGGCAGATGGTTCATAAAAGAGTTTTTGTACATCCTCCTTCCCAAAACGATTATCTCTGAGTCGTAGTAAATCTTCTAATCAATACAAGACCTTTGAGGACTGCACAGTTGCTATGCATATGTTGTCTTTGTTCTTGACTCACAGGACATTTTTGCGTCCTGAGTCACAGATCTGGGATAAATGGAAAGAGACAAGACTGCAGGTTCAGTGTTGTAAGAAGCAGACAGTGTTCCTGAGTCACAAATGCCTCTACTATGACTGTGTCCATCTTTCATGTTTCTCCTGAAGCTGACTAAGAGGTGCTGTAAAGTTCAAGATGAGCCATTTCCCTCTGGTTGACTGCAAAATTTCCAAGCACGCAGCTCAGACTAATCTAATTATTTGTTCTTGTAACCAACAGATTTTTCTGAAATTTGCAGGACAGAATAAAAGTTTCTGCCAAAATAGTAAAATGTCTTCCTTTAAACATTAGTCATAGAATTATTTGAGTACTCGACTCTCTCATTGGCACTTCCAGGAGGCTGTTTAAGCGCTTGTGTAATTCACATTTAAAGCTCGCCCCTCGTGCACTGCCGCGAATGTTCAGCATTCTCTCAGCCCAGAATGATCTTGTAGGGGTGGAACAGTGTTTCCCCCTGGAGAAGTGGTGGAAGCAAGTCTTGGTTTCATATATCAGGCTGAGGTTCCACTGTTTCCAAAGCCAGGAAAGCACGAGCAATGTGAGGTCATAGAGAGTGGAGTTCAGATAGAGAGACAACACCAGTGCCAAAGCTCAATTAAAGAGTAAGAAGAGGGGCGGGGAGGAGAGACAGATAGATCATGTTGGTCTTGCCCCCAGTAATATGAAGGAGCAAAGGCCACCCCATACACACTGCACCCAGCCAGTGTCCTTTCATTTTTCCCTACTAGAGAAGGTGTGAGGTACTATATATGTCTTTCTTGGAGCAAACTTGGCTTGTTATGTCAGCAGCACCCTGTTACTGACCCTGCCTGTCAAGTGGCGCCAAGAACAAGAAATAGTGTGGAGAAGGAATGAGACAGACAAGAAGGGAGGGAATGAAAACAATGATAATAAGAGAAAACATCAATTAGAGACAGAGAAAGTAATCTGTTAAGCTGAGCAAAGTGGATATATTCTGAAATCAGTTGACCTCCCGCTGATCAATCCTTCTACTTGGCGTTACTTTTCATTGTCCAGTCAGCTCTAGTTCACAGCTATTAAACCCCGCTGTGTGCACGTCAGCAGGCAGCAGACAGGGAAAGCTTAGTGTCTGTGGTCGATTTTAAGAGGTTTGTCAACAGTTAAGATGATGCTTAACTCAATTTTCAGCAGGCCTGCACCTCAATCTTGTGCGGCCAGACACAGGCTTTTTGCATTGAGCAATCAGAGGGGATTTTGTGGTTTGGTTACTCTGTTGGAGTGTAAGTGTTTTACTAAGCTATTCACTCAATAACCAAATAAGGAGGATTTCAACATGTTGTCTCTATGGCTACCAGCAAAAGGCCTGCTGTGTTAACATTTCAAAGAAATGGGTCTCTTCTCTTTGGCATGGCTTTGTCTGTATGGTGATAAACATTCTCATGCATCATATCATTATAGACTCATCTGGGGCCATATTCACAAAGTTTCCTAGAGCTAAGAGTCGCTCCTTGTGACGAAATTCTAAGAAAATACTTAGAACTGTGTCATTTTCTTAGAATTTCCCCTTAAGGTTAAGACTAGGTCCTTGAAAAGATCAGTTATTCACAAAGCATCTCAGATTTTAAGATAGATCCCATGGTGAAAAACAGGAGTAAAGAGGAGGACTTTTAATAAGCTTAAGAGTTCTTTACACAGAGGAGAAAAAGGTGGAAACACCTACATACAGAATGACAGTGAGTAAATGACATGCTGCAGATGAGATTGTGCAGGGAGAATGTTTGTGGATGATCGCATTAGGGATTTGCACACATTTCCCACCCAACAAAATAACACTATATTGCCAGAAATAAAATGATCACAACACTAAGATATTTGAAAAACTGGAAAAATGCAACACTGCAGCAGTGATGACTTTTGTCTGTCTTAACCCTCCATCAGCAGAGGGATCACACGAACAATGGCAACACTTTCAGTCTCATATTGTGATGCAGTTCATTTCATTTCCACTGGGTGTCCACACCTTGCAGGCTCACAAAGGGGTGTATCTGTGACAGCCAATCACATCTGTAAAAATGCATCATACCTAGCAACAGGGTCAGCCACACCTTCTCACTAAAATAAAAGTTTCTGTCCCTTCCTTGCTCAGAGTTGCTCTGAGAACTTTCCTAAATCACTCCTAAGCTAAGACTCCTTACTTTAAGTTTTTAGGCGAAGTTAGGAGCTCTCTAGTATTCTCAGAATGTTTTGAATATGGCCCCTGGTCTTATAGTAGCCATATTTTTTGCACTTACCCAACGGCATACTTGAAGAATCCAGATTGTTTTTAGGATTTAAAGGGCCTTACTGAAAATGTGGAGACAGCTCCTCTAAAATGGACAATGCCATCAAACATTAAGATGCTCTGAAGGTAGCCTGCTGGGCCTAACAGCTAGTGCCAGGTACACAATACACAAGATCAAGTTGGTTTTGGGCAGGAACGGTAATGTTCTTACACCTATTTTCCTTATTAAACAGAGAAATACAACCATAGACATTCTGAATACAAGCTTCTCTCTGTCACCAAAC